AATTTTTCTATTTTTATTTTATTTTTTTATTTTTATTTATTTTTTTATTTATTTTTCATTTTATTTTTTATTCTGTTTTATTTTATTTCATTTAATTTTATTCTATTTTATCCGTTCTATGCATTATCAAACTTCTCCTCTACTGCTAGAGCTACTAAAACTTCAGACCGAATATATTAAACATTTTAATTCGCCCCCTCTAGCGGTTTGGGCCAAATTGCAGCTTTCCAAAAAATCCAAGATGGCGGCGGCAGATCGGGGCGCGGCTCGGCGATTGCCGATTTCATTGTATTTTCCTTGGTCTTTTACGCGATTCAAGCAAAGAAAACAAGTTGACCACAAGAACAAAAGAGTAATACAGCACTGGGAATCTAATGGTCCGTTTTGTTGGGCGGTAATTTCTCATTTCAAGTGAATATTTACTTGCGTCACAGTGATTTATTCACCAATCAAAAGCGACATCTTGCGACTTAAGCAAATATGGAAGGTTAATGTACATAATTTATGTCATTGATTTATTGGTCCAATTACAGCAGCTATTAGCGAAATTCTAGAACATTAAATGCATACTATGATATAAAACAATGGTTTTGTGGTAAACATCATTTCCTCTTTTTTAGCAACTTCGTTGTATCAGAATAACGACACTATCATCCGGTAGGTCGACACCACAAAGTAAAGTATACATGCAGAGTAATTGGTTTCATTGGGTGTTTTTTTCACGGTCGAAATCAAGATTTATCCATCCATTCAACGTACATATTTTGGAGCACAATATCTCGGCCGCTGCAGGCGGCCGAGATAAAAAATTGTCAGCTATGTAACATTCCATTTAACCACCATTTTACTGCGGGCAAGCTTGTCCACTGAGTCTGTGTGGTCACAAGATAAAGGCGTCACGCCGTGTGACTGCATGTACAGGTATAACCGGCCTTATGCCAAAAACAGTTGTAAGATTTCCCCATGTGCTGGAGTACTGTACATGTCACATTGAGCTACTAATGAAAAAATATTCTGGTGCCACATGCCCATGCCAGGCAACAACAGATGTAGGTACAAGTATCACGACTTTGATGAATCATGTTAAGGCCACATGGTTTATACAAAATGATGAGGACAACAAAACCTTGTATTAAAGATGACTTCTCAATGACCAAACCTTTCATTTCAGCCACAGCAAACAGGAAGGCCTTCCATGGAGCTGCATCCTCTGGGCTGCTGGCCATGGTGAAAATGTGAGCTCCTTCCAACTTCTGCAGGAGGCCATTTGGGCTGTGGGTTGGGTCATAGTCTAGGTGCACTGTTGTCACACAGTCTAACTCTTCCCATTTAGTTTCAAACTCCTGAGGAGTCAAGTTACTAGGAGACAATAAAGAAATGGTTTCTTCCAAATCGTCTTCTTCCCCTCCCTCTGCTCCCATATCAGTCTCATTACTTGTGCCATTTGTTAGCTTGGTCTGCTGTTCTTTCCTTCTTTGTTCCTCCACCATGACATCCCACGACCTCCGCCCATATATGGGCACCAGAGTGTTAAGATCCTGTAGGTCAATGATCTCCTGACCAGGTGCATCGCTGTCCTGTATCTGCACTGGCCTGTTGGCGGCTCCCAGTATGACCCTCCTTGCCTGCTGCACGTCAGTGTGGAGTAACCTGTAGTACATCAGAGCGCGGTCACGGACGGCCATGTTGGTGTCCTCGTCGATGCAGTACTCCAGGAGACGACCCAGCATGTCCTGGCACTCCGCAGGGCGGCTGAAGAACATCTTGGCAGTGGCTGTCAGAAGCTCAAGCTTCACCTGATGGAGTGACATTATATGTGACATAAGTATAAATTCTCATATTCCTCCATTGTAATGTGCTGACTGTAGCTTTTATGAAGAATGCAAAGGTAGACTAGAAAAGAATAAGATTAATGGCAGCATACTGCTAAAGTAGAAAACTGTATTGGCTGTTAGTTGATAGAACAATTTGGATATCTTTTGCAACAACCCTAATGAAAAGAACCAGACAACCTGTATGTAAGTACTCATAAGGACACTTACTTGTATGCTGATCTCACTGGCCACATTTTCTATCATGTCCTCCAGTATGTAAGGTCCATTTGGCAGAGTATGGCCATACTGCCCCAGTAGCCAGACCAGTGTGGCCTTGGCTGGACCCTCCTGTACTAAATCCACACAGTTGGGGAGTAGAGGTGTCACCTGCATGGTGATAAAGAATACAACAGACATTATTATAAATCCACAGTTACACCAACCCCCTGAAGATTGCATGCCAGTTTTAAAAAATTAAATGCTTTGCAACTGTTAGAAAGTAAAACACAACAAAATGATAGTAAGTTACAAAAGAGCAACAATTAATGTCATAATTCAGTTCTTTTGTATACATTTACTGCTGAAGGGTTGTTTGCAAAACATTGAGTCTCTCCTGCTTTGTTGAAATATAGATGTATAGTATATCATAGTCATCTTTCACCTTAGGGATAATGTCAGGGTACAGCAGCACCAAGTCTTTCAGGGCCATGAGTACAGCTGATGTGATGTGTTCCTGTTGAAGCCCGTGTATCTTCAGTAGAGTCCCCACACAGTGTGATGCAGAGGTAGGGAGTCTACGGGCAATCTTCCCTATCGCCTGTATGGATGCTGTAGCCAGGTCAGTGGACACATCTGTGCAGTACATACTCAGCTCCTCAACTATATCACTTTCTGTCCCATCTGTGGCCATCTCTGTCAAAACGTGTAGCTTCTTTGTTTTCACATACAAAGGGTCGTTATATCTACAGAAGAACTTCTTAAAGTCTTTGTTAAAAAGCCCTGGGGAGGTTGTTAAGATGTACTGGATGTGGCAAAGTGCAACGTAGCTCAGTTCTGGCCCACCACTGGTGATGATGTTGAGTAAGGGGCTCTTAGCTCGGTTGTACACCTGCTCCTGGATCTGTGGCATGTCTTCTGTGAGGAACAGAAAGTATTTCAAGGCAGCCATGATGACTCCACTGTTACTGTGTTTCAAGCAGACGTCAACGATGTTCATGATGTCAAACGTCTCCTCTTCCTCTGCCGGTTTGTACTTGAGTAGGAAGTGTAGAACCTGGCACTGTCCCCACTCGGAGAAGTCCTGTACCCTGTTCAGCAGGTAGTGGGCGATGTTCTTGTTCACAACGACTCCACCCTCTGCTTGGAGGATTTCCTCCAGCGCCTGTAGACAGTTAACCACCACTATAGGGTCTTTGTCTCGTATCATACCATACAACTGGTCAATCATGCTGGCATCTTGGATAAGCTCAGGGGCAATGTGAAGCATCTTGGCACACCCATTCACAGCATTCCTCCGGACATACGCACTAGAATCCTGAAGACCCCTTTTCAGCGGCATTTGTATGTACTCTACCAGGGAGGGTATTCTCAGAGAACACATGGTTCTCAACGCAAGCCCACGCACCATTGGATTGGGTTCTAGACAATCTTTCTGCAGGGTGTTGACTGCTAACAGTGCCAGGTCTTGCTGAGTTGCAGCGTAGTTGCAGATGTAAAGGTAAGTCAGCTTCTTCTGCACCAGGTCAGGTGTGGCACTGGCCTTGATGATGTCCGGGAACAGTGGTGACATGTCTGCGCCATCGGTCATCAGGGAGACCACTCGACGGAGAACCTGAAAGAAAAAAGCATCAAATGACATTTTTCAATTACAGTCAAACCTGTCTATAGTGGTGGGACTGAGCAAATCTGACCACTATAGACAGGTGACCACTATAGAGAGAAGGTCCATATCTGATCATGGGCATACTAGTATGACACTGACTTTCAGTTCTTATAGATATCTGTCTTCAATTTCTGTCGCATTTTTAAATTGACATTTACAACTCAAATATAGTCCTATTACTGTTGTTATGTACATGAAACATTGCAATTTGTAGTTCCATGTTCACGTACCTTACAATTTACATGGAGTACTAGTAAAGTGGTTGTAATAATTCTAAATCTGATATCTCTAGGATTAGCTTGTGTGCTAATATACATCATCATCAGTGCTGTATATAATGGTACCGTAATTAACAAGACCGCACAAACTGTTATCAGTGATACACTGTACTGATGAGTGGTGAGAAGTGATGATGACCCTACCTGACGGTACCGGTTTTTGTCCGCCTGCACGGCGGGATCAGACAGAGCCGTCCGAAGTTCCTTTATCGTGTCATTCCCAGCAAAGAAAGGCATCTTTGGGAATGATTATTTGTCGGAAAGGGTGAACAAGAATTCAAGAAATAACGCAAAACAGCAACTATGAAGTAACGGAGCCGCCACGGAAGTCGATGGCCGCCATATTTGAGGTCAAAAGGTCACCAGAAGAATTCAATTTCTGAAAGGGTGAACTTAATGTTAAGAAATACATTTCATATGATTTAACAGTTTTATTAGCATAATGTATAGTAATATATAGTAAAAGAAATAAGATATAAAATGAATCTGATATATTTGGGCAATTATAACTGTCTTTTATTTAAACATTGATGGCCTGAGACCAAAGTATCCCCCTCTTGAAAACATGGTGTATTCCTTTTCACTCGGGAGTGTTGTTTTGTCCATCTAGAATAAAGTCAGTGTAATTTTCATCAGTTTTAGAGCAATTACAAAGGAGAAACTGTGATATGGACGACTTTGACGACTCAGGGAGCTGGGATGGTGATCCCTACGACCGCTCGGTAGGGTCAATGTTATGTTAAAGGGACATTCTGCACGAAGTCAAAGCGTAACTTTGGCATGTCTATTCGTTTATATAATAATTATAACGTTACTAGTAGTATACTCTTCATTTTATCCCAGCTTTGAAAGACCATTTAGATTTATCTTGATGCTTGATGCAAAAGTACCGAAGTAACGGGTTCCTTTCTCAGCACTCGGTATACAGAGGTGAGGCGGCTTCCGTCCTAGATCTCCAGTGCCGAAGTTACGTCAACACTTGGTGTCCAGTGTCGGCGGCTTCAGCACTGGAAACTCTAAATCGGCAAATCAAACCTTGTCTTTAGAAAGGGTACCGAGATGCCGCCTTTGAACTCTAACACTTATATTTTTGAGATCGTACCGCCCGGGAAGCAAATTATAATCGGGACGACAAGGTGATCGGCAGGACAATACTGCAAGGCTCAGATCCTCACATTTTTGCAAACATAGACTTGGCCTACGATACTGTACTGTACGCCGCGCGGCCGATGTAAGCACCAGAGGCCCAGTGCCGAAATGATTTGAGAACTCGGCTTCCAGCACCAAGGGTCACCGAGCACTGGAACGATCCAGTGAGGAATCCGTTACTTAGGGACTTCGGCACTTGCTATCCAGTGGTGAACGGTCTCTGAGCACTGGCAAGCGAGTGCCGAGTGGAATTCAGCACCGGCTATCCAGTGGTGAACGGCCTCCGAGCGCTGGCTATCCAGTGCTGAACGGCATCCGAGCTCTGGCAAACGAGTGCTGAGTGGAAGTTAGCACCGGAAAACGAGTGCCGAGTCAAGATTAAGCTCTGGAATTCCAGTCCTGACGGTGTCTCAGCACTGGAACAAAGCCGTTTCTGCACTAGAATTCCAGTGCGGAGCTTTCTTCCGCACAGGGCCCCGAGTGTCGACGCCACTTTCCCCGTGAGTTCCGCACTGGGCGGCCAGTGCGGAACCCGTTACTTCGGTACCCTTGCATGCTTGATTCAGTTATGAGTTATAACAGAAGTGTCGTTTGTTCCCTTGCAGTACGATTCTCTGCACGGGGAGGATCATGAGGGGGAGGGGGGCGATGAGGAGGATATGGCGGTACAACAGGAGTGTCTGGAGGCGTTTGGGAACAGGGACTACATCATGGAACCTGGGATCTTCAACATGCTGCAGAGGTGACTTCATCAGGTTATGCACGTTTGAACCACATGGAACATCATAAAATTATGAAAACAAGGAAGTTCTTGAATTTGGATAGAAATTAAAACTTCCAATCAGTCAGTAAAATTGATAAGATGAGGAAAGAAACATTTAGATTTAGAAGAGACAAAAAGTATAATTGTAACTACCTTGTGACTTTGGAAAGCCTCAGTCATTACATGTGCATTGTTGGTCATAAACTCCAACACGTCTCCAACAGTCATTCATTTTAGTAATGTTCACAAACATTTGTCAAGTGCAAAATTTTAAAATGAAGATAAAAAAAATGCTTTTTTCATTAGTAATGATTCTTTATTGACACAACAAAAAAGTACAGAGACTTTTGTATGGTCTTCTACAACTTAACTAAAGATCTAACAAAGCTACATACATGTGTGGATAACGTCATCTTACGTACAGAGTATATGTATGATGTAACAATAAAGTTGAGTGCAGCAAATAATGCCATTGTAGTATGAAGAATAGAGAAAGTGTCATTTAATGGGGTTATCAAGATATGCATAGTACAAAATGTAGTACACTTTTATATCTTTTTTGTTCTTCCACTTTTCTTTATTACCTATCAGATACTTCCAGCATGGCGGTGCTCCAGAACAGGTCATTGACCTCCTGTCCACCAACTACACAGCCGTGGCACAGATGGTCAATGTGCTGGCAGAGTGGCTCATTCTAACAGGTGAAACTACAGCAAAATGTCCGAGCAACTCAATATAAGTCCTCATATACCAAATAAATGTAGTCACAGGTACCTTTCACAGGATAATGATATTGACCATTGGCTTTCTGGACATAATTTTTGTTGTTCTATTTTATCTTTCTATAAACTGTCAGGTTGGTTAGGTAAATTACCAGAGCTACAGAACACATCTTATAGCTACATAGTTCTCTTAACACTATTTCAAATCTTCCTTTCCAGGTATGAAGCCGACAGAGGTACAAGACATGGTAGAGGATCACCTGAAGGAGCTGGTACTTAAGCACTTTGACCCGAAGAAGGCTGATACCATTTTCTCAGAGGAAGGAGAGGTAAGGAAAATGTGAAGTTTCCCTTGGAAAAACAACATGAACTCAGCACCTGATACATGTAGTTGGTCATTTGTCCTTGGAGAATCTAGCAAGATAGCCCAGTTAGGTGCTACTGTACTTGAGGTATTTTTTTATCCTTTGCCTATCTGTTTCTGTCTATAATCCATCACCTGTTTGTATTGCTATGATAAGAATAATTTTCCTTAAGAGCACAAGAAATGTTGCTTGAGAATGAATGGTACCAACACAGATGACTAATGATTTGCTAATTCCTGTACTGATTCTGTATCCTGTAGACTCCTGCCTGGCTGGAGGAGATGATCGCCCATCCCAAGTGGAGATCACTCTTCTACAAACTAGCCGAGGATTACCCAGAATGCCTCATGCTCAACTTTACCATCAAGGTAGGGCCTTTTTACCAGAAACGTACAAAAAGTGAATGTTCAGGTCTTTGATGGGGGCCCGCATGCCCTTTTTCGTAGAGAGTAATGGGCCATTTTAATTCTAGGTAGAGCGTAGGTGGACTGCTCTAATTCAATGAGTGCAATTGGAGCATTTTGTGCAGAGCGTAATTTGCCGTTTTGATTCTACGTAATGTGTTTAGCGTAATATGTACCCGGCTCTCAAAATTTAGCGTAGAGTGTTGTCGGGGCCCCCCATGCGTCTTGTCTTGTGTGTCGCTAATGGAGTTTAATAAAGCACATGCAGGCCCTCTATGATCAATGATGCCTACGTCCACCCCTGATGTGAACCCTCCCTTCTCCAGCTGATCTCAGACGCAGGTTACCAGGGAGAGATTACCAGTGTGTCCACGGCCAGCCAGCAGGTGGAGGTGTTCTCCCGCGTGCTGAGGACGTCCCTCACCAACCTGCTGGAGGGAGGGGAGGAGGGACTGGAGAAAAACCTCCCCGAGATTGTTGTAAGATGTAGCTGTTGTGTATAGCACATTGGCAGAATGTACTGCACCTGCGCGAAACCTGTAATGTGCATAGCACTTTGGTAGAACATCTCATATAAGGTCGTATTCGCACATATAAGGTTAACACTCTGTGTGTAGTTTCAAAATGTCATGTTGGAAAAATATTGTCTGCAACAGGCAAAACTCTGATGCAAAGTTGACCAAACATCCAACGAAAACCGTAAAAAATTGGGGTTTTGTGCAGGCGCAGTACGTTCTGCCAACGTTTTGCTGTGTTTGCTTTCTCAAAGTCAAGGAGTGACAATGGTGAATCTTTAAGTTTTAACTATGATAGTATGAAAAAAGAAGCAAACCTTGAACTGGCTTTAAGTTTACATTGTCATTCTAGCACAGCTTTGTTGTGACCCATTGAGTATTATGAAATTTATGGATGTTTTGAAATCATTTTTACTTTACAATAGAAAATGGTCTGCCATGGGGAACACACCTACCTGTACAGCCAGGCTCTCCTGCAATACCTCAAAGAAGAGGAAGGGGGCAGTGCTGTGAGAAGAATCAGCCAGGAGCTTCAGAAAGCTGCCAAAGACTTGTATGTCATGTTCAGCTCTCAAAATCATAAAAATATACTACACATATTTTCGAATTACATGGACTACTTATTTTTTTGTATGTATAGGTGGACCTGTTGAGATTCTCTTACTTGCAAAGGTTGTGTCAACAACAGTCTGTCATAGCTGTAAATTTCATTGATTTAAGAAATGCATATACGTGTACATGTGTAGTCATTGACTGGACATTGGCATGACTGAAGTATCATGTCCTTGCAGGGGTCGTGACGTTACAGAGATGACTCTGGCCCTGGGAAAGGCCTCATCATATCCCCGAGCTTGCCAGGCCCTGGCTTGTATGCTATCCAGAAATGCACTCAACCCAGCAGACATCACTGTGGTATGTCACACTGTGGCCATCTGTCTTTGTGAAAAGGAGGGGCGTTTTGTGCATGTATGATTGGTTAATAGGGAAATGATCCGTGTAAGATATTTGATCATGTACATGAAGGTCTTAAATAACAGGCTTCTCATGTAAGGGATTTACCTTTTTTTATCAACTCTCCAGTTTTTGCCCTTCAATGCTTTCTTCCTGCCTTTTTTGCAGTTGTTCAAGATGTACAGTGGGAATAACCCACCTCCTGTGGAAGTCATCAGGTCACCCTTGTTCTTTGGTATGTAACAATTTTCGTTCTTTTCTAAAATGTACACATTAAGTGAACCTGAATCATTATTTAGTTCTTTCACCTGTTAAAAGAAAAAATCTACAGTGTACTCATTTTCATTCCTAATAACCAAGTAGAGAGTAGTAACTGTTTTATTCTCTGATTTATATTTCATCCCCTTCTGTTGTTGTTCTCACTACAGAGCTGTTCATGCAAGCTTTGTTCAAGCCTGGGTCAAAGCTCAACCCTGAACATAAACCCAAGTACATCTACCTGTTGGCCTATGCTGCAAGTGTGCATGAAACATGGAAAAAGGTACCCACCTGATACAAGTTTGTACTGTTGGACTATTATATTGTACACCTTGTGTAAGAAGGACATGGTACTAAAAGTAACACATTCATAGGTGAAATAAAGTACAAGTACATGCATATCTTATGATTTAACCTGTCCCCATCCAAAAGAAGATATCTTAAGATCTATACAGTAGTAACTGAACAAGTAATGACTACTAGTATGTGGATGAAATGTTGCTGCATGTATTTCCAAGACTACATGTTGATGCCTGTGCTTATCGTAGAACAAGAGAGCAGCCATTGCCAAGGATGAGTTAAAGTCCACATCACAGGCGATAGAACGTGCCACAAACCTGTGCTGTAAGGAGAGGTCTGAGGTGGTGGCAGAGTTAGGAACACTGTACTCCTGTATCAGGTAGGATGACAGCGGTACCTGTGCATATCTTTTGCATTTGGCACCTCAACAGATCTAGATGTGCCAAAAAACAATTACTAGTACTCGAGCAACTGGATATGGTTTTGGATGTAGCATCCACTACCTTTCGTCAGTGACATTCAAGCAGGTTTTTAAGTATGAACTATTGATTGATGACAACTCTCCAGTGTCACTGATGGAAGGTATTGGATGCTACCTGAAATGTCTGACCATTTCCAAAATCATATCCAGCAACTCCCAGTTGCTTTGCTTGAGTAACTGTTTTTTGGTGTATCTTATTACCTGGATGTCTAACCTTCACTGATGACTTACGTCAACAGATGCTTTGATTTAGGGTGTGCTTGAATAAATTCTTTGAATGGTACCCTGCTTGTCCTATATAATTAATTGCCATATTTTTCTCTCAGAGTGCCAGTTGTAGCCATGGGTGTTCTCCGGTGGATTGACTGGACAGTCTCAGAGCCCAGCTACTTCAAGCTGCTGACAGACCACACACCCATCCACCTGGCCCTGCTGGATGAGATCAGCACCTGCCATCCCCTCCTACATCCACATGTGCTGAAGTTTCTCATCAGGCTGCTGGAGACAACCTACCCAGACTTGGATGTCCTTGTACAGGTAATGTTACATAGGTTTCACTAAGTTATGGATACAAGCAAGATCCAACAACTTTTCTGATGAAAGGGCCATTTTTGCAATTACTGTCATCTACACATATTTATGCTTGCCAAAGAAAAACATATTGTTTTTGCTCTGTTTCCTCTTCCATTTGAAACACTGACCTCTGACCTGGTCTATGACCTGAAGCAGACTGTCTCTCACCATGGTAACTTGTGCTGGGTTACATGAAGTTACATCATGTTGCAATTTTATAGTAGGAGGGATTTATACTCCTGTCTATCCATATATATATGAATGTATTTGAGTAAGAATTTAATAACAGAGCAGACTACAATGTATATGTGAAGGTAAACATTATGCATTTACTTTGCAAATGTTACCTTTCTAATACTGGATTGTTTTTACCACTGATCCTGGTTTCTCTCTGTTTGACAAAATGGTTCTCACCCTCCCAACAGCTGGAGCTGAAAAAGACCCTGTTGGACAGAATGGTCCATTTGCTGAGCAGGGGGTACGTGGTGCCCATTATACAGTACATCAAGGGCTGCATCGACAGAGGTGACACAGACATCTCTCTTATCAGACACTTTGTTACTGAGGTGAGGGAAACATTGTTGTCTCGACTGAAATTCTGCATTGCACATACATGTCTTGTAGTCTACTACAGAGTCAAAGTAGAAACTGCTGTCATCAGTGACAACTTGAAATCATGACCTTCAAAATTTTGACAATGTCATCTATCTTACTGTTAATACAAAGAACCCATATGATCTTTGAGGAAGCTTGAATCTTGCTTCAACTTTGATAAAATACAACATGACCCTGTATGATATTTTATTTCTAAGAAAGTCTATGTTGACCTCTATTCCAGGTGATTGACATCATTGCACCACCGTATTCCTCTGAGTTTGTCCAGCTATTCCTGCCCATCATTGAGAACGAGGCCATCACAGGAAACCTGAGAACTCCTGACGAGTCCGACCCTGTCTCAGACTTCATCGGACACTGCAGATCCAACTTTGTAGTCATGACGTGATCTGACACATCTCACGAACACTTGACAAGGTGTCCAAGGGTGTCTCTCATGCCAATTGATAGCCTGGTTGGCATCAGGACAATAATATGGCCCCATAGATATGCTATACATTCCAAGCAGGATGCCAAATTGGAAGAAAGAATTTCCCTTCCCCCTGCTGCATAACCCTGTCACCAATATACATTTGATGCCATAAGACTACTTCAGCTGGAAGAGGGTGAAGTCATCTGTCTTAGAACAAGTTGTTTATTTGCAATGATTGATCTTAACTGTCAACTGTCACATATCATACATCAGCAATGCCAGTCCCCCATTAGGAATTTGGGATACATTGTTAGTACCAGGCATTATAGCTATGTACAAAAGGTACTTTCAACATATAACAACATCATGATGTTAGGCAACATTTGAGAAAAAAAGAATCCTTGTATTCTTGTCAGAGGTGAACAATTTATTGCTTTGTAAATAAATTTTATGTTGAGCTACTTTTGTTAATCACTGTTCTAATCTGAATCTGAATCTGATTGGTTAGACTCAGGTAAGTGTCTGACACTGACCAAACTATCAATTCTCAGTATCTGCTGCAGCACTTGGACAACATGACACAGTAAGAAATACTTGGCCCTTACTGGTTCATACACTTTAACAGTATTTGAATCCATCAACTGTCCAGTGTAGCCATCAATTCCTGAACAGCCTTTCATGGTTGCCTTGGCAAGTAGTCTTGGGAATGAATTGATGCTACATTTCTGAATTTGAGAGTTTGCATGTAGAGTTCTCGGTACACTTAGAACAGCTTCACTCATAACCTTGCAAGTTACAGAAAGCTTTGAGTCTCTTGTATTGTCTGCATGTTCATGTAGACATTTGTGGACTAGAATCTCAAATGTACCACCACCAAGCAGTAGACTTGGTTTGACATTGTGGCTTGTCCAATCATAACGATTATAACCAGAGCCTTTCAGAGAACTATCATCTGTACTGTTAGTGACATCCAGCCACATTCTGACAACCTTCAGTGCATTGTGCATGGCATTTGTAAACAGCTTACAAAGCCCTGCATTCGGACCACAGACAATTCCCTGTGCTGCTTTCATGCCACTTTGTTCATGAAGTCCAATATGGACATATCTGTTCTGACCACAAGTGATCTGCTTGCAAAATTTAGCTTTTCCTACATTTATGGAACTAGCATCTGAACTGGAGACAACCAAGGGTTGCAGAGTGGACAACCTGCAGAGCCTTTGCAGCTCCTCCTTTGGAATGTGGTGCACAACAGAGATGTTGGCGGCTTTGCACAAATACAGCACCATGTCCGATGCATGTTCAGAAGTCAGAAGTACATTCACACCTTTAGATTCCAGTTCCTTGATCATCCTTTGCACAGCCTGCTGTTTCCATGAATGGGCACGAGACAGTTCCTCTTCTTTTCTTACATACAATGTTGAAGGTGTTTCTGTCTTGCTTGGTTCTAAGGAAGTTTCAAGGACAGCAAAGGTTATAGAGTCTTTTAGAGCATCAAGACTCTCAGCTTTCACAGCAAAGTCTCTTTGCAGGATAACTCCATCAACAACATGTGAAGAAGAAACAGGCTTTCCCGGCACCTCTAACCACACCAACTCATAGTCATCAATCAGCTGCAATACAGCTGTGGACAAGACATTTCCATCTCCAGCTGTTTTAAAGATTACACCACAAACTATCTCAGTCAGGATTTCAACAACTGTTGGGGTAAACTTGCCACTTAAGAATGTCCTTATAACATTCAGACAGTATTCTCTCTTTGTGGAAGATTATCAAAATCTGTGACAACAGCATGTTTTAGAATAGCAGGAAGGATAACTTCAGGTAAGGTGTGGTCGAGGAGATGGGAGAATGCCTGGCTCATCTGTATGCACAGCTGCTGCACCTGTCCTTTCTGCACCTGGCTTCTTACATGGGAATGTGTCCTTTCTATCCCGTAAGTCTTGCATATTGTTTGAAGGGCTTCTCTGAGGATGAGGAGAAACGTTTTTGTTCCATCTCCCGTGATGGCGTGATATGATTGGACGGCATCCATGATGAGGTTACCTACTGGGTGGGACAGGTGGAGAGACTTGAGGATGGTACTGCCATCTGATGAGATCAGCACCTGGGAACAAAGGAAATTTAGCTATCCATACAAATATGTCTCTTACTGTGACCCGCCACAGTTATTCTATTTCAAATTAAAGGAAATGTAATGTACTTTTCATCCTTCATGTAACATGTAGAAATTCTTTTGGATTGAGAACATATTTAGTTAAACTATCATTCCTTTGACTGACTTACACAGAGCTCTGACTTGAATTTTCATACACAATCTACTTTTGATATTTGTACAACATTATTAGGCCATTATTAAATGTTAAGATACATAATAGAAATTTCAAGAGCACTCAATATCAAAGGCAGGTTTCAACAGAAACTTGTCATAGCTTGCCCCACACATCCTGTGTGATGATGACATTATTTTCTGAAAGTGGACAGTCCTAGCATGACCAAACACAAACACCTCTGACCTGTCCTGTAGCTGTGCTGATCATGTTGTGCAGGGCATTGGGACCAAAAGACCCCTGCAGAATGCTGCAGAGTGTGTGACTGATGGATGCTGCAGTACTGATGTCTACACTCACACAGGACATGGTGGCAGATGCAGCAAACTGTGTGGATTGTCCAACCTAAAATCAGATAGAGAACACATAAAGACGTTAGGATGACACCTAAATTATTAGACACTGGACTTGAAACAAATTTGAGTTAAGATTCAATCTGCTAAGGTTACAGAAGTGACTATGAACTTTTCTCAATACATGAAATCACACCTGTTGCCTGACCTTAAAACAGCAGTGCTCAAAGTTTCTCTTTTAACTTGAAAGTCATAGCCTGGGTACCATCTGGATTTTCCTCCACTGAGCAAAATCTGCCCAAAATTTGCCTAGCATAGTGGGGCAAAATCCGGATAGTACCCAGGCTAGACATTCAAGCATACTAGTAAAAACTAGGAAAGTACGAAGACTGGAACCTTGCAAATTGTGAACCTTACAAACCTTACAAAGGCTTTGTATCATCACTTGTCATTTTTATCCTGTCTGTCTCCATTTGTGCTGCAATCAACTGGTTAGTGCTTCATCCTTGTGTGTCAGTCTTGAATCAAAGTGGATTTTTGTTATACTTTGATAACGCAAATTACTGTCCCCGAGTACAATACTTAAAAGAAAAGTTCAGTCAGAATCCATGGCCATGGCAGCCATAGATGATACAGCCTGAGTGATGATGCATGTGTGACCACAGGAGAGAAGGGCTCTGGCCTCCCCCTGCTCACAGCACCCAGGTAAAGCCTCTGGCAGGAGCTACACCTCTGGCACTGGGGGTAGAAGGCAGGGGATGAGTACTTGGCCACTCTTTTCCTCTTGAGTGCTGTTTCATACACTGCCAAAGGTGGCTGATGATCTGCAATAAACCTTCCTCCGAGCAAGATTCCAATCTTCTCCTTCAACTTTAGCTTCTGGAAAACTTTACCATAGGACGTTTTCAGGCCTCCGAACTTTGAACCGCAAGAGTGGCAACCGAACTTCCGGCCAAGCTGCTGGATGTGGACTTTCTTGTTGTGACTGGCATACTTTAAAGACGCTGGGACTGCCTTCTTGCTAAAGGCACCTGGGTGCAGAAGATGGCTTGGCAATACATTTCTGAACCGTCCACCTAGGAGTTTGAAGGTCACACATGTTAGTACTACAGTAGATGGGGCGACTACCCATTCTTGTTCTGAAGATAAAACATCTGTATAACCCTGCCATTTTCTGAGACTGCTGCGAGAAAACGTTGCCACTAGTCCTGCAGCTGCAACTGCACTGAGTCCAGCCAGTGGTGCACAAATTCTGTGGCACGTCAGTCTCAGGGGTGTAAAACAGAGATGCTGTATTGCACCTAGCGACAGAGGAAAGGCCGTTATCCCCACCAGAACTGGTACTGAGTCTGTAAGGGCACTTTCTCGCAGTGATGACTTCATAGTTCATACTTCCTGAGTTGTCAGTTGATGAAAGAAGGTGGACCGAAGTGTCTGATCAATAGCAAGATCTTTTCCTCTCGGTGCAGTGTACCGTTAGTTCACGTTACCTTTTCTTCTTTGAAGCTCTTGATACTTGATAATATTCTTTGATCGGTATTACTCTCTATACGGACCATAACACACAGCAAACATCATATTTTTGAGAGAGTTTTAGACAAGATATTTTCGGTACATACACTCACCTTCTGCTGAGAATGTTTCAGCTGACCGACATCTACTTCCGGGGTCACGGGGAAAGTACAATAACAACCACTTAGTTCGGCTGCATTATAGGGTAACACAAATATCATCACGTTGAAGTAAGTCTTAATGCGTTTCATGAGAAATGACTCTCAATATAAGTTTTTAGTAGATGTGTTTTTACACTTCATATACTAGTAATATCGCCACACTATATCACCCCAACCTGTGGTACATAATGAGTTTTCCCTAATTTCTTGACGCCTGCGCAATGGCAGCCCGGGAACTTTGACAAGAAAATGGCGGCTTTTGCAGAATTTTGGGGATGATTCGTCAAATTAAGTCACTTATTTACCCGGTCTGATACACTGTGGAGCCACCATGCCGCTTCTTGGGAAAAGTCAAACCGCCAGGGAGTTCAAACGTAAGTTATAGCCATGTTTGACAGACATAATTTATGTTAAACATGTTATTTATCTACTGTCAGTGGGAGGGCGGGAGTTTTGCATGATTTTGGTACTACATAGTAATGATATGTAATTGTAAACGTCATAAATTTATTTTATCACAGAATCACAGGTCATCGGCTACACTTGGCAAATACACCTATGTTTTCTCTAGCTATAGGTTTATCAAATGATCAAATGAGTTGTAAAGGGCGATATGAGCTCGAATAAAAATTATTCGAAATTATTTGTTTTGGTTCCACTTTCTTTGTTTGAAAGGGCATAAACTTTTTGAGAGGACATAAGTAACATAGCAGTTACATATAATAAGTTTTCTGAGAGACATAGAATGTTTGAGAGGACGTATTACTAATGAGTATTTTCCTGTAGCTCAATTAGGAAGAGTTTTAGTTCAATGGGTTTTAAGAGTCTGAAGCCCTTGTTATGCGGTACATAACTGTTATCTGTTATATCCAGGTCTGCAGAAGGCCCGTCTGAAGGCTCAGTCCAACAACAACACTAAGGAGGAGGCAGAGATCTGTAACCAGCTGGGAGAACTGCTGGCCAAACATGGTAATCAGGCAATAGTAATATTTACTGCAGTCTACATGCTAAACTTGCGTGTCATTGTATCTGTATTTTGTCTTTTCTCTTTATTTTACAAGCTACAGCTGTTGTTGTCCAAAGCTATCTAATTTCAACTGATATCCCAACATGTATTAAGACAGTAAAGTTTGTTTAAAACAATCTGGAAAAGAATCCTGGCATTAAAAAAGGTTGTACTGGAAGATAATCCTTCTGTTTCCAGGTGAATATGAGGAGGCCATAGAAGAACATCGTAATGAGCTCCAGTTATCAGACTCCATTGGAGACATCCTGGGTACCGCCATCGCTCACCGCAAAATCGGAGAGTGCCTGAGCAGCCTCGATCGCTTTGACGACGCCGTGAAACACCAGCAGTCTCATCTGCGACTAGCGAGGTCAGTGTTAGATATAACCACCTGCAGTCAGACTGTCTGCAGTCTGCAGAGACATTTTAAATATTGCAAAGAAAAATTAAGCAACCTGCAATTTTGCTGCCTAGACTGAAAAAAATCAAGCTACAGTAGCGGTTCAAAGGTGTTTAAAAGTTTACCTCTAACTCTATAAAAATTATATATTTTTCAAATCGCATCTAAAATGTTTGCCAACATGCAAATTTGTATATGACTTTTAGGTGTATAATATTTGCAGAAAGTATTTCCGGAAAAGAAACGGTGCAATAGCTCAATTGGTAGAGTGCTCGCTTTGTAACCGAGAGGTCGTGAGTTCAAACCCCGGCCGGGTCATACCAAAGACTTTAAAAATGGTACACACTTCTTAGCACTCAGCACATATGAGAAAGAGTGTGGGAAGGTCAAACACACAGCACACAGCACAGTGGACCAGCCCCCTGCTGTAGTGCGTTACACAACTGTGTGTCGCCCAAGGGCTACAGAAATGGATATGGGCACCATCCTATGCTCTGCATAAGGGCACGGGAGACCTTTCCTTTCCCATTTCCGAAATGCAGAACAAAATTTTGACATTCTGCAATATTGCAGAACACTGAAAAAAAGATTTCTACCACTGCAGGTCTTTGGCAAACCACGTGGAGGAACAGCGTGCGCTGGCCACCCTGGGGAGGACGTACCTGCTCCAGGCCGACAGTCTGACGGGGAGAGACGGTGCCACGACGGCGCTGATCAAATCTCAACAGGCTTTCCTGAAGAGTCTGGACGTGTGTGATCTCCTCAGGGATGTGGTGCCAATCAGGTCTGGTTAAAACATAATGAAAGTTTATCGCAAATACATGCCTGAGGGCCGTAATTGCAGGATGAGGTACAAACAACATGTATGAAACAAAAAGAAAATACAATGGTATGAGAGACTACATCTTATATTATACTAGATTCTACATATGTACAGCTTGCCTTGAGTTACTGGTTAAGCCTAGGATGATAAAATGCTTAACTGGCTGGCACTTTTATTTGAGTAGTGACGATGCAGCCAATAGACGTAAGAAAGTATGCTTTATTGTTGTCACAAAAAAGAACCTTCAGTTCTTAAATCACCTTAGGTTTTGATGATTGTTCATTTTTACAAGTGACTACAATGAGATGAGAGCTCGTCTGTTCCTGAACCTGGGAATCGTGCTGGACAACAAAGGAGACGATACCGGGGAATGGAGGGCCTTCATCAAAAAGTGTATCTTCATCTGCGAGTAAGTTCTTACTGTTGTGTGACACAGAAATATAGCAGCAGATGTGTGAATTCAAACTTGTCTTAGCTCTGCAACATACTCACTCACTATCTGGGTTATCGTCTGTTGTTCCCCATCTTCTGAGGGTTAGACATGCTTGCACTCTGAGGCATTGGCTTGATGGCAGCCCACCACTTGCCTATATCCTGTGGGTTAACATTATATAGGTTCAAGTGGTGGAAGTCCTCCCTTACGTTGTCAAGCCACTTCTTGTTTGGTCGACCACGAGGGTTTGGGTCTTCTATATCTTATTCCACATCTTCCACATCTCTCATCTTATGCAAGTCAGATCAAATGTGACATTTCTATCCTATTGTTAATGATCAAAATTTTCAATTTAGAAAGCACAAGTTGTTAGAAGACCTGTATCGTGCCCACTACACACTTGGTGACATCTACCAGCGCAGAGGCTACCCTGCACAAGCCCTGCGCTCCATCGAGGCAGCTCTACAGTGTGCCAAGAAGATGAAGGACAAGTTTATAGAGAGTGAATGTCTGGCAAGCACAGCGCAGATCCACCTCCATCTGGGAGACTGGTCGGCAGCCAAGCGGGCCCTCAGGAAGGCCTACAAGCTGGGTTCTCTGTTAGACAAGGACAGGCACAGGATTATCAGCTGTCTCAGGACAGGTTTGTACAGTCTGTCAATCACATATTCTCTTCATCAGTTAACCTGCCTGGTATTGTTGAAGTTTGAAGAGCAAAAACCTGCGTTAGGATGGCATTTTTTTAGATTGTTCTTGTATAAAAGTATTATGACTCCATCATCATAAGACCTGTTTCATGTAGAAGGCTTATAGGGAGTTCAGGGGAAAGGCAAAGAAAGAGGACACAAGAGATGATAATACAGGGGAAATGGTTAATGAAATAAAAAGAGAGACAAAAGTTTGCAAGTGTCCCCTCCTTTGCTATCTGAGCAGGTAAAAACTGTATCAATGCTAGTATAATAATGCCTGTTCTTGTCCCCCCAGCCATTAAGGGTTGTCACCTGTTACGTGAACTGTCTGAGTTGTCTGAGGATGATCACCAGGGAAGAATGTGCGTGTATGAGAAGCTAGGAGACACCAGTTCTGATCTGTGCCTGTACAGTAAGGCTGTGGAGTACTATAACAAACAGGTACATATTACTCTCCTCTTATATTATACGGTATATGGCAGTATAAGGAAAATGGATGTAAGTACATGTCTACCATTCTTGATGATCAGTAACTATTGTGCCCAAATTCCAAATAAATTTTGATCTTGAAAGCGGTGAAATACCACTTCTAAAATTATCATTCAAACTGAGGTAATAACTTATAAATCCCATAATTTTTAGTTTAATAATAAGTTTATTTGTAGATACAATATTTGAGTAGCAGTATGAGAGTTTTGTATCTTGTGTTGTTACAGCTCTCCTGTGCGACACAACTCCAGAAGCCAGCCCGTCAGATGGCTGTTATTCACTACTCCCTGGCTGCCAGCTATGCAGACATGAAAGAGTTCAGCAAGGCAGTGGACCACTACAGGCAGGAGCTACAGTACAGGAAGGGCAATGTTAAGGAGGTATTTCTAATTAGCATCTTAGCCTCTAGGGGTGGGTACCACTTTGCCTCATTCAGGTCCAGGTCAGATCAGGTCCGGACCTGTACCTTTACCTGATTCTGTGCAGGAGTACTAGTAGCATATAATTATGGTGTATCAATAGCCTCTCATGTTTTGATTACTATAAGCACAAAATATAATTAACTCAGCAATAATTGATGCACACTATAGATGGAATGTTTTGTACCTTAAGAAAGAAAGGTAGTACATTGAGCAACCCTTTCATTTTGGTACTTTTTACCTTCATTGTTACTACATGTACATGTATCTGACAAAAAGTCTGACTCTGGCAATGTGTTGAATGTGAATGGTGACAGGCTAGTTTTTTCTTCTCTTTTTAGGAATGTAAAACTTTGCTGCTGTTGGCTCAGGCCCTAGAGGATGATGGGAGTGGTTACAGCCAGCTGGAAACTGTATACCAGCAAGCTTTGCAGGCAGCAAGGCAGACAGATTCTGACAAACTAAAGGTGAGAATCTGATGGGCCTTGCAACTTTCCTCACAATTTTGCTGTTCTCAGTTGCTACCTTTGCCAAGAAGGTTATGTTTTCAGCAGTGTTCGTGTATGTGTCTGTCTGTCTGTCTGTCTGTCTGTCTGTCTGTCTGTCTGTCTGTCTGTCTGTCTGTCTGTCTGTCTGTCTGTCTGTCTGTCTGTCTGTCTGTCTGTCTGTCTGTCTGTCTGTCTGTCTGTCTGTCTGTCTGTCTGTCTGTCTGTCTGTCTGTCTGTAAAATCGATAACTCAAGAAGGCTTAAATGGATTGTCTTGATATTGGTAGGTGGGTAGGTCTTGAAGAGACCTTGAAATGATTAGATGTTGGGTCCCTTGGCGTCTTGTTATGCTACTGCAATGAAACTTCCGGTTTTTATATCTCATGATCTGGACATGCTACGGTCACAAATTTTGCTTGGTGGATAGCTCTTGTGCTCAGGAAAAAAGTGATGTGATTTTGGGCCTACCAGCAGCTTGTTTAAGAATGAAACTCTTTGTTAACTGAAGTACTCTTCCTACAACAGATCCGTGTGTTGAAACACTTCTCCATGGTACAAGACCAGTTTGGTGTGGACAGTGCAGACCTGAGGGAGGAGTTGAGCTGTGTGCGGGATGAGAGCGGGGTGGCCTCGGGGGAGAGCAGTGATGAGGAGGCTGAGTCAGACAGGGGAGGGAGTGAGTCTGTGGAGGAGGTGGACTTATCTGCATCAGGTCAGTTGTCTATGGAGTAATTTCATCAATAGGAAATTTGACTTAGACATTGAGTAAAGAGTGGATCAACTATCTGTTACTGTAAGATTCAAGGAGACTTAGGAAATATATCAGAATCCAGTATGGTCATGTAGTTCAACTGCAATATCTAACTTTTCACAAAATATATATCCTAAAGAGAAGGCAGTACTGTATTGATTGATGAAGCCATTTAGTGATGTACCAGTTTTTATGTTTTGTTTATGTCAATTATATCTTATCAATCATATCTTCTGCACCACAGATGAATCTGAGAATGAAGAATATGATCGAGGCACCACAGGGAGGGCCAGAAAGGGTTGGGTGAGTACTACTGCTATCTAACATCTACATTTCTCAACTCAACAACTCTGTGTACATCCACTTTAGATATTAAGCTTTCTCTGTATTAACTCTGTGTTGGCAAAGCTTGAAGTCCAAGTTGTAAAATTGCTAGTTTAAAAAAGTACCTTTTTCCTGTCCAGATGAACCGTAAGAATGAGAAAGGGGAGTCCATGTTACACAGAGCCTGTATCGATGGGAACCTGAAGCTGGTGAAGTCACTGGTGGAGCAGGGGCATCCCATCAACCCTCGGGACTACTCCGGCTGGCTGCCGCTGCACGAGGCCTGTAACCATGGTTACCTAGGTACACAACCCACCTGGAAATTTCACAGTCATGAGTTAAATTTTATATACCTCTACCAATGAGGTACAAATGTATTTCTCAAACTATGTTGGTTGCTTTGTAAAAATTAAAGGCATCCAATGCAGTTTTTAGGGCTTGAAACCTGATTTTTCAAAGCCAATGTTCTAGAGTTCAATGTTCAATGTTTACATGTAATCTACATAGAGAGTTGAAACTGCACTGTCCCAATGTATATAGACCCTCATGGAGCAAAACTTCCCAAAATTCTGATGGAAAATGGTTACTGGAAGGGCCCTTGGCTGATTTTTAGGGTACCACCCAGAAAATAAAGGACTCATCTTGGAGCAAGTTTCTGCTGTTTTAAAATGCCCTAAGTATGAAATGCTGATTCAACCGTGCTAATGTGAAGTGGTATGTGTCAATATCATGCAAATTGCCTTATTCAGAATATTTCCAGTTTTGCTGCCCTGAAATTGCATTGGATAGTTTTGCCCATAATTGTGCTTACATGTTTTTCTCCCCTTACAGACATTGTGGAGTATTTGGTGGACCACAATGCAGCTATCAATGACAGAGGAGGGGAACACTGTGAGGGGATCACCCCCCTACACGATGCAGCCATCTGTGGACATGGAGACATCGTACAGCTGCTGGTCAGCAAAGGGGCCAATGTGCTGGCCAAGGACGATGAGGTCAGCACTCAAAGTCAAACTTCAAGTTGATAGTCTTGCCACAGGATTTATGGTCTCACTTGTTTTGCCTTATTTGTCAGTTTTTTGGTTTGTTTTTTTGTTAATTTTTAATAGTAGTTTTAGGCAGTTTTTTTGGGGGATGACATTTCTTACACAAGAAGGATGAACTGTTGAACTGGATGAACAATCTAGACAAGGAACTGTGGATTTTGACTCTTGACTGTTACAAGATTGGATAATCCTCCCAGCAAGATTGGATAATAATCCCAGTACATTTAGATGAATCCTTTCATCTCAATGTACAAATAAGTATGCTAGTTCTACAAAGAACAATGTGTCTATGCTGCAGTAGGGAAAGATTCAATTCTCTTAGTTCTGTGTAGTTGAATGAAAATCTCCCATGACGTTGTTGCTACAGGGCCGCACCCCCCTTGATGCCCTGGTCAGTTGGAGACAGTCCTATGAGAAAGAGTTGGATGAAGAGGCCCTTAACCTCACACTCAGGACTGAGAGGGTGCTCAAGACTGCCATAAAAGAAGGTTTGTGTTTCTCTTCATGTAGTTATAAATTAAATTGAAAATTGCAGTGCAGATACTTTGCATTTCACAGATTTTACTACAAAGATGCCATGATGTCGTGATTCTTTTGTATTGTTTTTCTGTTTACTGTGTTTTGTTTTTCATACCTTTAACAGCTTTTATTACATCCCCAGGAAACCCCCATGCAGCCCCTCTCCGGTCCAGATCAGCCCTCCATGATGACCTGTTTGATGAGGAAGACTCGGAATCTGCCAACGCTGAACTTGCAGTACCACAACAGGTCACCAGGAGGCAGCCTCCCAGCAGGGTAGACACTAACACCAGTAGGAGAAGGGAGACTGGTAGAACACTGCAGAGAAATACCAGTAAACCTCAGGAACGAAAACAAAGGGTTGGTAAAAGAAGCCACATCTTTGGCTGTGCTGAGTCAGATGACAGTGAAGGATCCAATGATGTTGACACTTACTCAAGTGGCAGTTTAAGCCAAAGCCAGCCAGTATCTGACATAGACATGGAAAACTTTCAGCATTACTCAGAAAACGACATACCTACCTCCAGCCAGGTACCCTGTGAGGAGTATGAGGATGACTTTGTTGAACTGAGACCAGCAAGAACTAAACAAAGGAACAGGGCTATATGTTCAAGGGTGAACAATGATCATGATTTGGAAGAAGAAACATTTGGTTCTCAAGTGGAGCCAGAAGTACATCTAAGTCATAATCTCCATGAGGAGACAGATACAGTATCTTTATTAGACGACCCAACAAACGTGTACCAACAGGCAATGGCTTCTGTGGGGAGTAGCGCTGTCAGGCGGGAATTCTCACAGATCTCACAGCGACCGCGAGACCAGGAGGACGCCGCGACCAATCACACGCCAGCTCTCATCAATGAGGAGGAGTACACGGGAGGGGATGATTGGTTAGTTGATGATGTGGTCCAAAGGCCGGCGAAGCGAGCGAAACTGAGCTGTGCCTTCAGTGGTGGGAATCAAGTCAGAAGCGTCAGTAGCAGGAAGCCGTCCACTGGTAGTGGTGGAGAAGGGGATGTTTGTAATGATGCAGGTGTGAACAGCAGAACTCAGACTCGAGGGAGCGCCAGTAACAGAACCTCTGGGAGAAATCGTCTGACTCGTCCTAAGAGACAAACCCAGCTGACCCTAACAGGTATGGGTGTGAGACAACAGGACAGGAGACAGGATTCCAACATGGTGGATCTAACAGAGGACTCGCAGGTGCTCCCAGGGCCGTCCTCACGAGAGGAGGCCGTTGTCCCGGCTGCCCAGGTGCACAGTGCAGCAGCTGGACAGGTGCCCATGAGGTTGAGGGTGAAAGTTCAGGACAAAACCTTTCTCATACCCATTCCCAACAGGTACATGTTTGCATGCAGTGTGTAGTAGACAATGCTGCAATTTAACTGCAATTTTACAGAGTTGAAAAATACAGATCTAAGTGACAGAATCCTTTTATTCATGAGGATTTCACTTTTAGTTCCACCAATTTCTCTGTGTATTGTAGAACATTTCATAGAACCTTATTCGACATACTGTCCTTTTCAGAGATTTTTATTCTCTTGTACCTTTCAGTGACAGTTGTAAGTCCATAGACTGGCTGGGTGAGCAGGCTTCTCAGCGATACTACAACATGTGTGGCCTGCGCCCCAGACTAGCACTCCACACCAGGGAGGGGGCCATGCTGGAGGCTCACGATGCCATCGCTGATGTGCTCTCAACCAATGAGGAGGTGGGTTACAAATTAAGTCATCATTGAGCAATCATGTTATCTTCATGCAAATCTCTACCTGTTGAAATCTCCCATACATACTCTTGGTTTCAGAGACATCTCAAAATATTTTGCCCTTCCCAGGTTGTAGGGAGAGTCCAGTCTTGGGACTTACCCCCACTCCCAGAACGGTATATCAAGGCTTGTGAGAACTCCAACACAGGTGAGCTGCTCTACACCAACTCCAACATAGATATTGTGTAGATAACTATAGTTATAGGACAACATCTGTAGAGAGATTTGAAATGGGACTGTCTACCAATGGCTGTTGTGGGTCATCAGTATCTACTGAATTGAATATCTTATACCAAGGAGCTTCAAATGAGTGATATAACACCCTTGCTTATACAAAACAACAGAAAAAGCATCATGGGTGATACTTTTTATTTTATCAATTTTCAAACAAGAAGCCAGCCATAGGATCTCATCATGTCCATTCATTTCTATGGAGTCACTCCCTCTGAACATTTTGTCTAACTAGTTCAGTTTTCCCACCCTTCCCCAGCCGTCCATACCAGAGTGCGTGTGTTGTGTGAGTCCCAGCAGACTTCAGCCTGTCTGAGTGCCTCCAGCCTGGGTCTACGTCTGCCCAGTCTCTCCCCCCTCCTCAGTGCACTACAGTGTCAGTACTGCATCAAAACTCTGGTCCTGGCTGGCAACAGGATCGGGGACAAAGGTAGAAACTTTATACTCTCTTCATACGCAGGTCATACTGAGAACTGATTCATCAATACTGTCGTTTGTAACACTTGGCATACATAATATTCTGCATCCTTTTTTTTCTTCAAGTCAAATCTTAGGGCAAATTGCATGTGACTGTAATATCTCATGGTTGTCTTCTACAAGTCGTTACTGATAAAATACAATTTGTTATTGTAGCAGATATGACTTGTATGGTATGTATTGCACATTACCTGTATTGAATAGTTGCACGTCTAATGCATTTATAGGATGCGTACTCTAATTATGTGAAATCTAATCTGAATAGATTGATACATTCAGAGCCTTTAAACTTGGCTAACCCAAACTGTTTGTTACTCCGATGACAGGTGCCCATCTGCTGGCCTCAGCTGTAGTGACCCTGCCTAACCTGGTCCAGCTGGACATCTCCTGTACTGGCCTGACTCAGGCCGGACTGACCACCATGGCAGACGTGCTGGGAGGAGAGCAGAGTACCACCGGTCAGCTCCACACAGCCATGCAGTCTGGGAAACCTCTACAGGTACACAACAAGAACATAACCACTGCTGACAGGAGGGTTTGTGATGTAGATAATATTCTAAAAGGAATGTCAGCAGTGTTAGGCTGAATGCTGTTCAGCACCAAGGACAGGTACCGGTACATCACAAATTGTTATTGTCATTGTGAACTGGGGTGACCTGTATTGTGTTTTTGAAATGACTTTTCACCAATTTTAGTATGTTGTGAACCATATACCATGATCACACTTTTCTACCGCGAAAATACTAATTAGCTATGAGCCAAAGAAAATTTTTTGACAAAGTAAGGAGTTAAAATATGTCATGCTACAAAGAGAGGTGATGTTGTATGGCCAAACAGAACCAGTAGAAATGTTTTAAAGCACATGTTTTTGTCTCAGCACCTGGAAGATTTGAACCTTGGTTTTAACCCACTGGGAGACAGCTGCACTCTGCCCCTGGCCAGACTGGTGCAGGCCTGCCCCCTGCTGACAGTACTGCAGCTCCAGTCTTGCTGCCTGAGTATGAAGGTTTTCCAGCAGCACCGCAGACAACTCACTGATGGGCTGAAAGGTTGGTTTTGTAGGCAGTTGTAATTTGTTGGAAGGAGAAGGTGGAAAAATGGTAGCTTCTTGGAAAAGTGGGGATAAGGTAATTTTCTTCAAGACACTGACTGTTTCATTATCTTTACCAAAGGAAACCATATTGTTTTTGTTTTTTCCTCTTCTTCTTCTCCAAACCAATAAGGTCAATGACCTGAACCAGACATCTGTCACCATGGTAACTAGTGTTGGGTTACATTATGTTGCAATTTTATTGCAGGAGGGATTTAGACTCCTGTCTGAACATATATATGATTATGAATGGGTTAGAGCAAGAATTAACAGCAGACCATATGCAAAGGTAAACATTATGCATTTGCTTTGCAAATGTTAGCCTTCTAGTTTGATTTCTTCTTTTTCATTTTCCTTCATTTTCTTTTTCATCATCCAGGGGCCCTACACCTCCAGACCCTGGACATATCCCACAATCCCCTGGGCTCCACAGGGGTGGAGCTGCTCCTGAAATGTCTGGCACAGGACGTGGTGATCTCGCTTGACCTCCGTGGGGTCATCGCCACCTCCAGTAACAACCACCTGGCCAGACACGTGTCCTTGTACCTCGCTCAGGTAAACTTCAACTCTTCAACTATCCGCATGGCTTGATTTATCCCAAATGAATTACTACAATGTAGTAGTTTAAGCAGTCAAGTGAAATTACATCGCAAACAAGCGAAAAGGACTAGTCCAGTTGAAGAAAAAAAAAAACTTATGTCAGATTGTTGAATTGAGTGTTGTACATGTATGTTGCAGCCTGACTGTGTACTGAAGCACCTGAATGTGGCTGACAACTACCTGTGTGATGACATGTTGGAGGAGATTACCAGGTCAGAGTCAGGAATTCAATCATTCATTCAGAAGCTAGGAAAGGGGATAGTGTAGATATTTCATAATGTCTGTTCAGCAAAAGATGTAGCTGCATTTTTGAAACAGGTCTTTTTCTATTCAGTGCATGTTGGGATGGTTGTTATATTGTATGTGTTCTAGAGCATTATCATCCTAAAGTAGATTGAAAAGATACTGTATGTGTTTGTATACATTTGTATATGATATGGGGATATGCCAAAAAGGACTGAACTTTGTGTAATAATGAAGGAATAAAAGCATTGCTTAAAAGGTATATGCCATTTAGGCTGTCAGTAAGAGGTCAGTGGTAGGACATGTTAACTGACTGCAGATTCTCCCTGCTGTCCATACAGATCTCTGCAGTCCAACCCCACCCTACAGTCCCTACACGTGTCCACTAACTGTAAGCTGGGGAACCAGACCCTCCAGTCTGTGCTGGAGACTGTCCAGTCAGGCGTCCCTCTCCAGGAGCTGGACATGTCAGGCTGTGGACTGACCGCTCCTCTCAACAACACAACACTGGAGCTGTTACAGCACAACACTGAGGGGCTCAGGAAGTTAAGACTCTGTGGGAACAATCTGAAGAAAGGGGACAAGGACCAGATTGTTGATCTGTGGCACATGAAGTGGGGAGGGAAAGCTCTCGTGCATGTTGAGAAAAACAGCTGTATGCTTGGGGTGGGAGAGTAGAGAAGTGTAGGGCACCGTCCTGTAACCAAAAAGTCAAAGTGACAAAATAACAAAAAGTGGACTAAAAGACAATAAAGTATGTCAGTGTTATTCATGTAGCCCAATCTTGCGAGGTGTCTGTGACAATGTTATTAGATGTGAGTAGACACTGTGCAATGTTCTGTGAGGTTTCAATATTGTGTTGATATTGTTAATATTACTCATATCACCAGATATTAAATTATGAAGTATACATGTGTGTACCTGTGCGACAATATCAAGGATTTTGGAGTTGTTTGGTAATATGCATATATATATATATAAAATATGAATTTTGTACATTTATGAGAACACTTTCGTCATGTCAAAGATGTTTGATTCTCGGAGTTGAGTAAACTGATTTCTTGTAAATAATACGGGTACTGATGAAATAGAATGTAGGATATTTGTTTTACAAGTTATTTATCTGCAGTGCTATCCTATTAGCAGTGCTTGTTAAGTGCCACCCTGCCAGAAATCATTATTCCTCAACACAGTACATGATTCTTCACAAGAGTTATAGTGAATTGCTGTATCTGTGGTTGAAATTTTTACCCGTTCTTAAGCTTCAACTTATCTGTTGACATGCTTATCACTCATTAATGTTACAGTGGGAACTTTCTAGTTTATTTATGTAGTACAATGTACATTTCCATTATCTACTGTATGCCCCCAAATTATTACCTGTGGATCTTGTTAATGCTTAGATCAGCTTGTAGATCTTCAGGTTGTATCAAAGAGTTGTAGCCTTGGAAGAATGTACTTGGCAGATGTCAAACCATTCTGAATGATTCATTGCGTTGACTAAACATTGTTGTTTATATAGTAAGACCAAGAGTCTAAATGTTTAGTGTAACTGCTACTTTTATTATGACCATGTGTTATATTACTGCAAGTAACGTGGAATTAAAAGCAGTTACATAGACTTTTGTCTTTAACTTGAACCAATCCAAATCAGTTAGGCTATCACTGCTTGACGTCATAACAATTAGTGCACTGAATAATCTGTAGCATGTTGTTAAGTTGTTTGTTCCGGGACAAGGATCTTTTGAAATTCAGTCAGTACAGCATTTCATTTCTCATGTATGGTAGCATTTTAACCACGCATTTGTCCAATCAATTTCTATTGTGGACTATGCAGATAATACTTACTACCGTCCATAAGTTTTCTTAGCAAGCAGCACATCTTGATTTGTTAAAGACTTGCTCAAGCACATTACTAGATATTTCTAAAACATAGCACTGCTTGTTGCTCAGTGACCAATAGGAAATCATTTGATACATGAAGAGAATTATTTGTTCAGCTAACATCCATGTACATCACAACGTGCAGCCAAGGTTACCCAGCTATCCTCTGGCCATTACCATGGACTAAAAATGAAGGACTGGTGTGAATCTTGCAGGGTATACCAATGTGTACACAATCAATAGTTAGTAAAATACATGGTATGAAATGTATATACATGTTATATTTACCATAGATATTTAAACATGGAATCCCTACACTTCAAAATTCAACATTTGAAATAATGCTTTGTCCCTGTGTGTACAGTTTTCACTAAGCTACTACAGCATAATAGTGAAGTCAATACTGACTAAGTTGTATAATTCATATTTTACAGAGAAAACGTCCTTAAGGAGATCCGGGCTTTACCAAGAACTAGGGGGGACCTGTTTGAGTTGTGACTTTTATACTTTGAACTAAAGATACATCTGTGCTTCTACATTAATAGTAGAAATTAAAACAAACAGTTTTCAACAAGTCATAGATTGGGGAACATTGGGGAAGTAATCTCCATGCAGGTCTTTTGCAAGCAAGACACAATCCAAAAGATCTGCTAGGAGGTTATTCCGGATATACCAACTGGCGAGGAAAAATCGACACAGTGTTCTTCTCTTCACTAGTCACAACTAACTGTCCGTTTGGTCCAACAGCGGTACCCCAGGGTTTTGCAATTTTAACAACAGTGCGGACAAATTCTCCCGTGCTGTTAAACATGTCTATGCGCCCCTTTCCAAGATTCGCCACGATTATATGCCCAGATGGGGCCACACAGATACCTCGGGGTTGACTCAGTCCGTCCCCAAAGCTAAGTAGAAAATGTCCGGACGAATTGTACACTTTCACCTTGGAGACTCCAGAATCGGTCACATAGATTTTCCCTTCCATGTCCGATGTGACGGATGTGAACCACTGACGATATTTACTCTTTTCAAATTTCCGATACAACGTGCCGTTCAGTTGGAACATCAAAATCTCGTCAAAATTGGCCAGAATGATTTTTCCTTTCCCACATCAATGCTAGAGTAATCGGTAACGCAGACGTCGTTACTACGCGAGCAGGGAATCTCGAACTTGGTCACCGGCTGGCCATTTTGACTGTATTGTACTACATATAGTGACTTGAAGAAAAAAGTATGACCCACTACCCACACACGCCCTTTTTCGTCTATGGCAACATCGTGAGGACTTATGCTTTGTCTATTTTCGGCGGGCACTACCGTTTTGAAGAGGCGGAGAAAGTCCCCACCCATATTAAAGACTTGGACCCGTTTGTTAACGTTCCTCGTGTCAGACACGAATATCTCATTGTCAGCAGATATGGCCACTCCGCGGGGTTGTAGAAATGTCCCCGGGGCTGACCCCGGCCCACCAAAGGTGATCGTAGAGTTCGCGCCTCCATCAGGGTTTTCTGGAATAGAGCTTTTGGCGTTACATACGAATTTTTCAAACATTCCTCTTTAAACATGAAATTAAAGAAAAAAATCACGGCACTTGCAATAGCATTGTCACAGATACATACATAGTAATAGGATCTTGTTTAAAGACTTTGCATACGCGCTCTTCTTTCGCTGGGTGTTGTGTTCTTGTGTACATCTTCATATGTAGATATCAAGAATTCTGGCAACAGATAGGGGTGGATAGAGATTATAACTCTAAAGGAACTGATATCCACATAGGTTTTACCTTGTGGTCTGTTGAAGGTTGGCGGCAGTGTCACAGTGGGCAATGGACGTCCGACAGAACCGTTTCTAGGCTTCATCTGAAAACCAAGAGCACGAAGAGTAAGAAAAAGTTAAGAACAATGTATTAGCTTTGCATCAATGGCTACTCCAGTGGAGTGTCATTGAATGAATGGAATACAACGTTATTATATACTTTGCAAAATATGTTTTTGTGAATTTCTTGTTTATAAATTAGGCCAGAGCAAGTAAATTTTATGGATGACATCCTTCACAGACTCCAAATCTAATGCGAGAGGGCGAAAAAAAACAAGGTGGGCCCCCAAAAACAAGATTCCTACATTTTCACAATTTTGACATCATGAACCTTGTTAAACAAGATATTTCCTATACTAAGTTTACTGCCAACTACTACAATATCCATTTCTCACTGAATAGAATTTTTTAATCATTGCACAAATGGTTTTGATTCAGTAGGAACATCACTTATAAAAGGAATGAAAATCAATACATCACTGCATCAAAGTAAGCTTGAAAACAAAACATTGAATTAGAACCTTGTCCTGTCTCCTCTCTTCATATCTATCTGCCATCCATGTTATGGCATGGCAACAGACATCTTTGACCATTTTCGGCATGTTGATTGACCACTGTCAGAGGGCAACAAAATTTCTTGTTTTTTTTCCAAAATCAGGCGAAAATTAATTCGCCCGCTGATGTCATCCATAAGAATTACTTGCTGTGGCCTAATATTGTGAATTTCTTGCTGATGCATTTTTCCCACTGACTCCCAAAAGGCAATAGAGACATGCACGTAGCAGGGAACGAAGACAGGAAATGAGATTCCTGTATATTTCTGGGACCATTTTTATTTGATCTAACTTATTGTCAGTGTCCCCAACGTGCCTCGCACCTGGAAATAACGGAAACACATATGCACCACTTACATGTACTTAGTGAAACATCATGTTTCGCTTCGTAGTACTGTAATTAAAATCATGTTACACTTTTTGGTTAGCGACATTAAGTAATCTCTCTGTGTGTCAATTTTTTTATTCATATTTATTTATTGTGGATGGAACAGAAAGCTTCAGCAGCAATCTCACTGTTTGAAATAAGGGCAGAGATAAGAATATGAACTAGGTTACCGTGGACCAAGGACCTTGCGTGGACATGGTGGTGAGATCGGCCATTTTCTCCTGCCCATACCCGTGGTAGACAGTATCACCACGGGTGCAGTTGGTGTCCACGGCTGGTGTCGGCTGTGGATACCATAAAAGAGTTTAAGTGAAGAGACTCTTTTTACACAACCAAGACTTTTATTCAGCCGACGCGTCGGTGACCGTCTGTCACCTTCCTCAGGGCAATTCTGACTGGTTCACATTGCATTGCAGCACAGGTGTCAGACGGTCACCGAAACGTCGGCTGAATATAAGACTTGATTGTGTAAAAAGAGTCTCTTCTTAGTGTCTTACCAACCTGATGAAACTATTCACGGTCTCTGTGTATCTATTTTTTTCATATTTATATATATGATTGTGGATAGAACAGAAAGCTTCGGTAGCAATCTCGCTGTTTGAAATAAGGGTAGAGATAAGAATATGAAGTAGGTTACCGTGGACATGGTGGTGAGATCGGCCATTGTCTTCTGCCCATACCCGTGGCAGACAGTGTCACCACGGGTGCAGTTGGTGTCCACGGCTAGTGTCGGCTGTGGACAACATAGCACACCGCCAGTAGCGGTTGATCTATACTTTCTGTTTCTGTATCTGAATAGCCGGTATAACCGCCCTTCGGCGTAACACACCAGCTTCGCAGGCACGCGGCGGGGCGGCAGCTAGCTACATTACACCGAACGACTTCTACCTCTAACCAAGCATGCCTATTTCTGATAACTCTGGTACTTGAGGGCATGGCCATTTCTACTTTGATATACTCTCTATAATTATAATTATATACCGATAGTGAACAGTCCGTGAGGTAGACAAAACAATTCTCCACGTGCACGTGAAGAGGCCATTGTTTAGAACTTCATGCCTCGCTATGGAAGTGTTCGTTCCAAGAAGCTTAAAAAAAACACCTTGCAAATTAATTCCCAAGCAGATGTTGGGAGTCTAAACCGAATCTCTTCCCTAGCTGCCCGCTTCTGTACTAACACTCAGAGGCGTAACAGATTAGATTCAGGCTAGACAATAACTTGCAGTTCTGAAGGGAAAAGAAGCAAAAAGAAGAAAAAAAAATGGGTTTACCTTTGCACCATCTCGCCCTGTGGTGTTGAAGTATAAGACGGCAAACGTCCCCCCGAACGTTAAGGCCACCAGGATGATAACTGTCACTACGGCAACGCACACTCGGCGATACTCACACCCTGACCAGGTACATACATGTATAACAGAAACTTCGAATGAAAATGTGAAAATGAAACAATGAATGGATGTGTGGAAAAGCGAACAACTACTCGAGGCAGTCTTATCCCCGCCTGGGACACACAGCTGGACAAGAACACACAGGCACACATAGACAAACAACAGAAACACAGACACACACACACACACAGACACACAGACAGACAGACACACACATACACACATACACAGGTACACACACACACACACACAGACACACACATAGACACAGAGAGAGAGAGAGACACGCAGAGACACACCGGCACACACAGACACAGACACAGACACACACATACACACAGACATACACAGACACACACACAGCCACGCAGAGACACACAGACACATACACAGACACAGACACACACACACACACACACACACACACACACACACACACACACACACACACACACACACACACACACACACACACTAACACACACACACACACACACACACCACGACACACACACACACACACACGCGCGCACA